GAGAGAGAGAGAGAGAGAGAGAGAGGGAATCAAACCTGTGACCTTCTTGTGCACAGGATGATGCTCCAACTGAGTCACAGAGACCAGGGCAAATTTACATTTTAAAATGAAGAATATAGCCCTAGCCAGTTTTGCTCAGTGGTTAGAGTGTCAGCCTGCAGACTGAAAGGTCCCAGATTCAATTCCTGCCAAAGGCACATACCTCGGTTGCAGGCTTGATCCCCGCTTCCCAGCCCCAATCAGAGCATGTGTGGGAGGCAACCAATCGGTCTGTCTCTCTCATATTGATGTTTCTCTCTCTCCCTCTCTCTCCTCTCTCTCTTCCTTCCACTCTCTCTAAAAAGCAATGGAAAAATATCCTCAGGTGAGGAAAGAGAAAGAAAGAAAGAAGAAAGAAAGAAAGAAAGAAAGAAAGAAAGAAAGAAAGAAAGAAAGAAAGAAAGAAAGAAAGAAGAAGGAAGAAGGAAGGAAGGAAGGAAGGAAGGAAGGAAGGAAGGAAGGAAGGAAGGAAGGAAGGAAGGAAGGAAGGAGAAAAAAGAGAAAGGAAGAAACAAAGAGAAAAAGAGAGAGAGGGAGAAAGAGAGAAAGAAAGAAAAAGAAATGAAAGAAAGAAAGAAAGAAAGAAAGAAAGAAAGAAAGAAAGAAAGAAGAAAGAAAGAAAGAGAGAGAGAGAAAGAGAGAGAGAAAGAGAGAGAGAAAGAAAAGAAAATGGAGACTATAGTGCCTTATCAAAGTTATGGGGTCCCTCTGAAAAATTTCAGGCCTGATGGAGGAGGGATGAGGGGGCTAATGTCCCTTCCAATACCGCCAGCCTTCTAAAGCCCTGAAGTGGCAGAATTTCCTCAGAGAAATAAGTTACCCGTTTGAGACTGGAAGCTCTTCATTGGCCACTGTATCATATTTATCGTTCTGTCCAACAATACCTCATAATCAGGTGCTGGGAGGTGAGATGTGATATCCAGATAAACACGTCTCAAGTTAACTGCCTGCTTCTGTTGCAGGATTCTCTCCAGAATCACAACATTCTTCCAATGGAGGGGACCTCAGAGGTCATCTTATCCAGTCCCATAAGTAGGTTGTATTTCAGTCAAATGGGAACCTATACTTTCTTCAGAATTTGTTTTAGACTCTCACAGTAGGAAGTCATTATGTGTGTCTAGCCTCCACCTTTTGTGTTGCAGTAGTAATGTGGCTTGCTTTCTTCTTTCTGTCAAAATGGTGTACAACCTTATAGATTCAAA